AAGGGTTCTTTTCTCCCCACAACACCACCAATATTTATTATTGCTTGATTTCTTGATAGTAGCCATTCTTTGTGGGGTGAGGTGGAATCTCTCCCTGATAATTAATTTGGAGATTCCTCAAAAAACTAAAAGTAGGGGTTCCATTTGACCTCATGATTCTTCTTTCTGGTATCTTTCCAAAAGAATTAAAAGCATTATGTCACATCAATATATGCACACCTGTAGAGAACAGGGAAAAGAGACCTTATTAGAACTTCTGCAGCAAGTCCTAGTCTCCTGCAAGACACAACATCACAAGGAAAATTAATTTATTAGAAAAAATGATAGAAGAAATAAGACAGACAAGAGGCTGAGTTTTTGAGCCCAATGAATGCAAAGACAAAAGCCCTAAGCTTTCCACATCTTTATTCAGTAAATCAGGATAAAAGAAAAAAGAAACAGATGATTCAGTGCAGAGTTCAGTTTATTGGGAGAGTAGCAAATGTAAAAGATGATTCAAGGGGCCGAGGCAGTAAAAGTCCTAGAATAATGAGGAACTATGTAATGAAAATTTTGTTCCTACCAGGATTTATTCAGGTGGTGCAGTCTTGTCCTGAAGCATCACAGCATCACTGGGCCATTGAAATTTTAGCTGTCACCAGAGGCCAAATTTTAGGTGTTCTGAAATGCCATAGCTGGCCTGTGGCAGGAGAACTAGGCCTAATCATAATTTTATTTGTTTAATGATTTTCCCAAAAATTATGCAGCATTTCTCCTAACACACACACATTTTGTAATAACTAAATCCTGGAAATAGATCAAATGTCCATTGATTGATGAATGGATAAATAAGTGTGTTGTTTTTATACAATGGAGTACTACTCAGCCATAAGAAAGGGCTAATTTTACCCCATATTGTGATGCTGATTGTATCAACTGGGATTCAATGAGCTGTGTTCTCTGATTTAATGAAGATGTGAATGTCTGTGGTTTGTTAGATACCAAGAAGCTAGGGTGCAACTATATCAGGAAGATTTGGGTGATAATCCAGAGATTAAACCAAGGACAGCCCAACAACAAAAATAAAAATGAGAAAACACTTAAGTAAGACACAAAGACAGACTTACAGTTCACCAATGGCAAACAGTAGGGCAAATGAAGATGAAAAGGCGATAGTGAACCACCAGGACACCCTGAACTCAAAGCACAGGAAGTAACAAAACAGATCAATCAGGCTCTAGAAAAATTCAAAACAGAAATAATTTCCCAGATAGCCATAGAAATGGCGAGCAAAACGAAAGTCGTGATTTGACACATTAGGTGTACTAGGTAATCTATAGCATGCGAAGGTGGGAACCAATTAGACCAAACTCCAGCCTGCATCCAGTTCGGTCTCTTGAAGGTCAGATTTATGATTTCTATGTTCTGAGCAATATCCTGAGAGTAGGGCTGTATCTCCTACTCTCTTTGACATCTCAAATACTGCATATTGGATTTTTGGAGCACAATAAAGGCAAAACTTTTTAGGATATAAGTGTAAGAGACATTCCACAGTGGTGGTTGGAATCCATTTTTTTCCAATGGTTTCAAAAATGTTGCATTTAGGGCCTGTGGGTCCAAGGAGCATCCCGACCTTTGGGAAAAAGAAAAGAATTTAAATGTTTAAGGTATCTTCTTCTTCTGGAGGGGTTTGATATTTCTGTCTCAATATAATCAGTTGTACAGAACTTATCCTCTGTTTAATAAAGGCAATCAACCTATTAATTATACAAGGTCCTATTAGAAGCAGAATTAAGCCTAAAATCAATGGTCTGGCTAGGGTTGAAAGTAAGGTAGTTAGCCAGGGGGATAAAGAAAACCCATCTCCATAACATCCTTGATGTTGTACCCCCTATATTATTCTCTTGTTTAATCCTTCTCTAATCTTGGCCATAGAATCTCCTGACAATTCCAGAATGATTTACATAATAACAACATTCTTCTCCTAAGGCTGCACATAGTCCCCCTTGTTGTTGAAACATTAGATTTAATCCTCTCTTTAATTGTAAAGTTACCTCAGCAAGGGAGCTCAAAGATTCCTGTAATTTAGTGATTGCCAATTCTATTCTTTCAATATCTTGATCAATTTCTATCTGCAAGCCATTATACTGTTGATGTTGTGTAATGAGGGCGGCTGCTCCAGTACTAGCTTTCGCGATGCCCATTCCCATAGCACCACCAGGGTTATGGTTATTGAGTCTCTATCAATTTGCCTTACATTTCTATCATCCCATTCATTTAGAAAATTTTCATATTCATAGTAAAGGATTCAGGGAATCAGACTGATAAGGATACAGTAATCTTTGGTTTGATTCAATATTTGCCCATATACACAGGGAGTTAAATCAGAAGAACATGTCCATCACCCATTATTGGAGTGGACATAATATGTAGTGGCATTTACTGAATAAGTTTTATTACAGAGATATTTATGAGAGTTTGGTATGACACCTATGCAGGTGCTGGAACCCTTAATGGATGTACGGGTAAATTGCCCCAATTTTCCTTGTCCCCATCTGCAACTGGTATAATCAGAAGACAAGACAATATTTGCTTGAGATCCAATTCCTTCATAACAAGGGGGCCTTATGTCATAACATCACCAACAATTTTTGGTAATTTCAGGCCTAGTAACATTGAATACTGAAAAAGCTTGTTTCATTATTTTTAGGAGGAGATCAGAAAAATTGGAAACTCGGGATGATTGAATTTGTTATCTTTCATTCATGACTGGTTTGGAAGTAGGTGGCAGCCTGGGGACAGGCTCAGGAGTGGATGACAGCCTGGGGACAGACTTGGAAGTGGACACCAATTCAGGGACAGGTCTGAAAGTTGGTGGTATGCCAGACTCTATTGTTTGATGAATGCCAAACAGGATTCCTTGATCATAGCCATTTGTATATATTCTTAATCCCCATTGTCGTCCCATTCCCCATCCCTCTAATGAGGCCTTCTTTCCCAATTCAGTGAAGGATACTAAACGGATTACATTGAAACTTGGTGCACTGCCAATAATAATGAGGATAGATGGTGGATTATAATATCTAAGTGACTAGGGTTTCCTGATGCCTGGTATTAAATCTGTTTTCATACTGGCTGGATGCTCTGGTATAGTACTAGATGATTCACATCCCCAGTTTTTACAATAAAAATAGTCCTCTCCCCCACATTTAGATTTATCTCTTATGTGCCTAGGGCAGACATATATCGGCCGATCTGCCAACTTAGATCTAGATATTTATGGGCACATCCTGGCCCTTCATTAAAATCCCAATGGCAACATCCCCCACATCTAGGTATGCCTGTGGAGTCATACTTCCAATTTGCTACATCCCAAGTATTCCCAAGTGCCACAGCATATAAATCAAATTCAAGATTTGGCCACCAGATATTTGGAGGGGCCCATCTGGAGACTAAACATTATTTTTCCAACGGAGTGATTAATTATCATCCAAGTAACTTTTACAGGTTGATGAGGACTTAACCTTTCAGGATGGCATTTTGCAACAAGATAAAACATGAAAATTCTGATCATGCACCCATGGGACCCTCTTTCTTGAGACAGAGAAGGCTTTTTAAAGAAATCTAGATACTATATATAGAAACTAACCAATATTCCAATGGCTCCAGATCCAAAGAAAAGTATCAGAACAACCGAGACTCCATAAATTTTAGCATTGGCTGACAGGGCTCCTATATCTAGACCTACCCCAAAGCCAAATACCAAATAACATATCAGAACAATTAAAACTCTATAAATTTTAATATGGGGCAGTGGAGCTAATACTCCTAGACCTATTCCAAAGCCAAGGATTAATAAAGATGCTATAACTACCAGAGTTTCAAAACAATATCCCATGGGGACATTAGATTAGGATCTAATAATTCTTAGCTTTAGAGGATTATCAGGATCTTTAATTGATTTCCAGTGATCCGTTGACTGTGCAGGATCAACATCCTTTTTTACATGTGTGTCATGAATCCAAGAGAGGAAATTCCATCCATCTTGACTGCTATAGGTGTGGACAACAAGACAACATAAGAACCTTGCAGCGTGGTTCTAGGGTGTCTTGTCGATGTGTTTTTATTAGGACCCAATTCCCTGGTTTAAAATGATGGGGGGTGGGAGTGGAACCTGACTCATATTATGCTTAGAGCTTAGGCCAAATCTCTTTATGTACTTGCTGAATACCAAATAAATAATTTAACAATTCATAATCTTTACATTCAGTTAGAATCTCTGTTAGAAGATTTGGGATGATAGGAGGAGGAATGCCAAACATTATTTCAAAGGGGATTAATCCCCATTTATCGGGTGTATTGCATACCCTATAACATGTGAAGGGGAGGAGAGACACCCAATCACTGCCAGTCTCTAAGGTTAATTTAGTTAAGGTCTCTTTTAGGGTTCTATTCATCCTTTCTACCTGTCCTGAACTTTGGGGGTGATGCGCACAATATAATTTCCAATTAGCCCCCAATACCTGAGCTAGATCTTGGCTTAACTTAGAGACAAAGGCTGGTCCATTATCAGACCCCAAAGCTATTGGAAATCCATACCTGAATAAAATGTCTTCTAGTGATCTCTTTGTCACCATTTTAGAGGTTTCATATTTGGTAGGGAAAGCTTCCGTCCAACCTGAAAAAGTGTCTAGAAATACTAATAAATACTGGTAAACATATTTTCTGGGTTTACCTCTGTGAAGTCCATCTCCCAGTAGGCTCCAGTTCTGTTGCCTCTCAGGCAGTGGCATGGACTATTATTAGTATGAACTCAACTGGTCATCTTCGAACCCTACAGGAGGAGGTAATTTGTTTGACGTTAGTGGAGATATCCTTTATTTTGATTTGGGAAAGCTGAATCAATTCCCCCATTTTCTTTTCTCCTATGTGAGTAGATTGATGAGGAGTTGAAAGCAGTTGATCCCCCAGTTTCTCAGGCAGAAGGATGACTCCATTATCTAGCTTTCACCATCCTTTAACTAATTGAGCTGTAGGCATCTGTTTAATCCATGCCAAATCAGAATTGGAGTAGTCTCCCTTTTCAGGGAGGGCTGGGGTTCCCAAGTCAGGAGTTGTAAGGCCATAATCTCTTGGATGCGGAGGGCTGCTTCTTTGGCTGCATGATCCAACAGATTATTGCCCCTGGCTATAGGTATATTGCCTTTTTGATGGCCTGGGCAATGAATTTTAGCCAGTCTTTTAGGCAACCACAAAGCCTTTAATAGGGCCAAAATTTCTTCCTTATTCTTTATAGTTTTTCCTTCCACAGTCAATAATCCTCTTTCCTGGTAAATGATCCCATGAACTTGAGCAGTGGCAAAAGCATATCTATGATCAGTATAGAAGTTTAATTTTTTTCCTTGTCCCAAGGTCAAAGCCTGAGTTAAGCCTATGAGTTCTGCCCATTGTGCTGATATCCCAACAGGGAGAGATTCAGCCCAAATTATCTCAGTCTCTGATGCTACTGCTGCCCCTTCATACCTGTGTCCATTGTGCATAAAGCTGCTTCCATCAGCACACCAAGTCAGTTCTGCTTTTGGCCATGATTGATCTCTTAAGTCTTCCCAAGTACCATGCACCTGGGCTAGAATCTCTTTGCAGCAGTGGAGTGGAGCATCTAAGTCTGGATTGGGCAGCTGAGAGGCAAGATTCAAGGCAGCTGGAGGCTGAAAGACAACTCGGGCAGGATTGAGGAGAAGGTCTTGATAATGAGTTAGCCAGGCATTCATTAGCCATCGGTCTGGAGGTTGCTTTATTATTCCTTCAAAAGCATGGTGAGTAGTCACATACATTTGTTGTCCCAAAGTAAGTTTGTTAGCATCCTTGACCATTAGTGCCACTGCTGCAATCATCTGCAGGCAAGGTGGCCACCCAGATGCTACAGGGTCCAGTTTCTTTGACAGGTATGCTATTGGTCTTTGCCAAGGGCCAAGATATTGAGTTAACACTCCTTTGGTTATTCCCCAACTCTCATCCACATACAAGTGAAAGGGCTTAGTTATACCTGGCAGGCCCAAGGCTGATGCTCCTAGCAGCACAGCCTTGATATTCTCAAAAGATTCCTGTAAAGTCTCTGTCCATTGGAAAGCTTGCTGATCATTAGTTACTGCATATAAGGGCTTGGCTAACTACACAAACCCCGGAATCCATAGGTGACAGAATCCAGCTGTCCCCAGGAATTCTCTTACTTGGCGAGGAGAATTTGGAGGGGGGATTTTATGCACCATCTCCTTTCTGGCTTCTGATAGCCATCTTTGTCCTTTTTTAAATTTATAGCCCAAGTAGTTTAACTGTGGTTGACATATTTGAGTCTTCTTGGCTGATGCTCGACATCCAAGATCTCCAAGGGCTTTTAATAACCTTTTTGTTCCCTCTATGCAACCTTCTTCTGATTCTGCTGCATTGAGAAGGTCATCCACAAATTGAAGCAAGGTTAGGTGAGGATTTTGCTGGTGGTACTCACCCAGGTCTTCATGTAGGGCCTCATCGAAGATGGTGGGTGAATTTTTAAATCCTTGAGGCAGCCTGGTGCAGGTTAGTTGTCCATTGATTCCTTCATGTGGATCCAGCCATTCAAAGGAGAATATGGCTTGACTCTTAGGTGCCAAAGGGAGGCTGAAGAAATCATCTTTTAAATCTAATACTATATACCATTGGTGGGAGGGAGGCAATAAGTTCAATAGAATATAAGGATTAAGTACAGTAGGGTGGATATCAATTACCCTCTTATTTACCTCTTGTAGATATTGAACGGATCGGTAATCATCCGAATTAGGTTTCTTCACAGGCAGCAAGGGAGTATTCCAGGCTGACTGACATGATCGCAATATCCCCTGCTTCAATAAATTTCTAATATGGGGTATTATCCCCTGCTGGGCCACAAATGTCATGGGATATTGACGGACTTTAATGGGATTGGCCTCATATTTAACTTCAATGAATATTGGTGCTCTATGTTTGGCTAATCCCATTCCCCCCATTTCTTCCCAGGCCTGAGGAAAACTTTCAAGCCAGAAGGCAATATCTTTTTGGACTTGGGGTCCTGGCATGGGTGTGGAACAGAGTCTATATTCATCTTCAAGCCGAACAGTCAATATGTGAATGGGATTCCCAGTTCCATCAGTCACCTGGGCACCTTCTGGTTTAAAATGAATTTGAACTCTCAATTTAGTTAATAAGTCTCTCCCCAATAATGGATAGGGGCAATCTGTGATCACCATGAAAGAATGTTATACTTGACCACTAGCTCCCTGTACCCAGGACATTTTTCCAGAAGTTCTTCCTAATGGTTTTAATAGAACTGAATGTTGAGCTCCTGTATCTACCATAAATTCTATTGTTTTCCCCTCCACTTTGAGAGTTACTCTAGGCTCAGGGAGGCTTGTGAGCCCTGTCTCCCCTATTCATTTTCTTTTCCCATCATCAGAATAGGCATTTCTTTCTGGGGTTTCTTGGGGCATTCCCTTGCCCAATGGCCTTTTTCTTTGCAGTGGGCACATTGATCTCTGTCCAAACAGGAGTGATGTTTCCAGGGCTCTCTCCAGGGCTCTCTCTTATTTTGGTCTCCAGCTATTTTTGTCAATCTCCTTTTAGATTCTCTAGGTTCTCTTATGGTGGTTGCCACTAAAACTCAAGCCAATTTGCGAGTCTGGCGGTCTACAGGTAACTCCCTGTTATTATAAACTCTTTCTGCAATGACTACCAGATCCTGCACAATCTTTTCATCTAATCTTTTTATCTTTTTTTGTTTTTGTTTAATATCAGGGGCAGCTTAGTTAATTAAAGCCATTACTATTGCAGCCCTAGATTCTGGTGCCTCTAGATCCATAGGAGTATACCTAAGAAGGGCCGCCTGGATTCCTTCCAAAAAGGCAGAAAGGTTTTCATCCTGTTCTTGTTGCACATTTCCTACCTTAGACAAATTAGTGGGCCTTTTGGCGGCCACACGGAAACCCCCCAGTAGAGTCTGGCAATAGACCTGGAGTAGCTCCTTACCTTCTGCTGTATTATGATCCCAATCAGGTCTAGATAAATTAAATATTTGATTAACAAAATTTGGGCTTATCAGCGGTTGTCATTCTCTCCAGGAACCAATTCCCTAGATTCAAGCAAAATCTTTTCTCTTTCAGCAGTAGTAAACAATACACGAAGTAATTGTTGACAATCATCCCAGATAGGCTGATGAGTAAAAAGCACAGTTTCTAACAAATCAATTAACTCTTTGGGATTATCAGAAAATTTAGCATTCTGTGTTCACCAGTTATAAAGGTCACTGGTGGTGAATGCCCAGTAATGCATATCCTGGTTACCATTGGCATCTGGTGGCCCAGCAATCCTCAATAGGAGGATGGTGGAATCAATGGGCCCTGGAGGGGATGCAGCCAGCATTTGTCTGGTGTTTTGAGCAGGTCCACTGGGTGATTGTGGATCCACAATAGCAGCATTCTTAGCTGGTCCGCTGGGGGATTGCAGATCCACAATAGCAGCAGCAGCATCCTCCTCCAGGATACATTTTAGGTTAGGAAGGGGGCGATAAAGGGAAGAAAGAGAAGGAAAGATCAATTTTGGATCAGTTTCTCTCTGCAAATGTAAATGATAATCTGGAGCACTTGGTTTTACAGACTTTTAGACTTCTTTTTTGTCTTGGAGACCAGAACAGAAGTCAGCTGTCTAGGGGTGAGAAAAGATCATAACCAAGGAGAGGGGTTCAGTATTAAGTCCTCCCACACAACAATATAAGGAACTTGATCTAGATGACACTGGAAAACAATAATGTTTACTTTCTGGATGATTTTAAATCTAGAATGCCACCTATTAGCCATTCAACCCCAAAAGTAGGCCATTCAGAATCACACATGTTTTGATACTTTCCTTTTCTTACTTCTATGGACAAATCATGTGCTCGTGCTTTTACCTCTCTGAAATGTTCTATCATTAAGGAGAGGGGGGTTGTGGTATTTTGGGTTTGATCCATTGTAAACAGAGAGGAAGAAAACACAAAACACAACCACAAGAAACACTCAAGGAACACACACAGGATCCACACAGCAAGACACCAAATACACCAGACCATATGGTGGGAGCGACCCACTTTACCTTAAAACAAAAACAAACAAAAAAACACAGAAAAGAAAAAGCCTGAGTTCGATCCGTGAAATCCCCTGGGGCAGGAATGTCTTCCATTCTTCCCCCCCTGTTGAGGCTGTATAGGTCCATTGGCCCAAAGCCCATTGTTGGAGTAAAAAGACCTGAGGGTTTTAGATACTAAAACAATACAACAGTAAAATAAAACAAAAGAAAAAGACACTCAGATGTGCACATTCTGCTGACCAATCTCCTTTGGAGGGAATCCTTGGGTATTTGGGGATCCTGGACAAGCCCCCAAATGTTATGCGCAAGTCAAAAAGTCCCCAAGGACCACCAAGGAGTCAGATCCGATGCAATTACAAGAGGAGTTTATTGCAAGCTTGAGCCTGGACCTTTGGGTGTCACCATCACAGTGGCTCAGACCGAGAGCTCAGATCCATCTTTGAAGCAGGATTATATAGGGTTAGGGAGACTCTTCCTTTTTATAGGTCCTATTTTTAGCTCTTGATTACTATTGGATATTAGAGGGGTACTGGGAGGGCACTTACTGGACAATTACTACCACCTACATTCACAGAATCAATTCCTCTTTTTAAAGAATATCTGTTTTAACTAATTAGTAAAGACTACATGTGTAAGCAATGATATCAGCAGGTGTCTACCTATGTCAGCTATGACTATTACCTATGTTGGCTAAATCAAATTATCTGATGCAGGGAGAATTAATTTTTGGATCATAAAAAGAGGAACAGAAACAGGGTGGAGATGCCCTAAGACAGCCTGCCCTAAAAAAATGAACAGAACACAGGGAGACTGTCATACAGAATGGAATTTTTGCAGCTCTGTTCTGGGCAAGGGGCACAGAGGTGGGCAAAGGACACAGAGGGAGCCCAACTCAACCCTTATAATCTGTCATGTCCCTTTCATCTTTATGGATCAGAAAATAAAGGATTTGCACTTGGGGCCTTGGGCCATCAGTTAGGACCCACATTTGTGCCTGTGGCCTACTTATCTAAGTGGCTAGATCCCAACATCAGAGGTTGGGTCCCAGCTTGCGAAACCTAGCCGCCACATCTCTTAGTTCAAGAATCAAAAATCTCACTTATGGATCCTGCACTATGGTTCTCTCCATCACTCCATCTCAGATTTATTAAGTTATAAACATCTGTAACACCCCCCCCATGCACAGTTCTGTCCCTCACACAGTGCTTCTATATGATTCCTCCTTGACTTTTCAGCTTTGTGGTGGCATTAATCCCTCTTCTCTGTTGCCAATTCCTAAACAAGATGCCCCCATCCATGCATCTTTTTTTAAATTTAATTTATTGGTACATTCTAGGTAGACAGTACTGTTACATTCATTACTGGGATCTTGTACCCATCCATGAATCTTTAGAGACCCTTGAAAATCTCCTGTCATATGAGTCTCATATAAGAAGGCCACCTCCCCTTCTCTGATTTGGTCTGGTTTACAGATGGCAGCTCTTTTACCAAAGACAAAATAAAAAGGGCAGGATATGCCATAGCCACCCATTCTGAAGTTATAGAACAAGGATCCTTATGCACACAAATAAACAATCAACAGGCAGAGCTCACTGACTACATTTGGGCCTTTGTCTTGGCCTCAGGTAAGTGGCTTGCAATCTATACAGGCTCTAAGTATGCCTTTCATATTCTCCACTTACATGCAGCAATCAGGTTTGAAAGAGGATTTTGTGTCACAAAGGGCAGTTCTATTCAAAATTCTAAATTTATCACAGAACTTCTACAGGCCTCCAGGCTACCATAGGCAATTGGAATCATCCATTATAAGGCCCATCAGTCAGATTCATCAGAAGTAAAAAGGGCAAGCAACAAGGCTGATAAGGTGGCAAGAGAAGCTGCCTTGAATTTCGAGGCTGCCCCATACCCTGATTTTATGTTGCCCCTGAGTTTGATAGAGTCTCCTGATGATCTGAAAACTCCTAATTGGACCTTTACCTTAACTAGGAATCAGCTTACTTATCTACATAAGCTTTTCCATCCTGGCTGTAAGACTCTTTTGGCCTTTCTGGAACCTATAATCACTCTTTCTCCCTCTGACCGATCATTTCTCCAAAGTGTTTCTTCCACTTGTCTAATATGTCAAATGTCCAATGCTCTCTCAAGACGTGCCCCCTTCCCCACACATCAGGCTAGAGGCATGTTACTGGGTATGGATTGGAAAATTGATTTCACCCATATGCCCAAGGTAAAGAGGTACAAATACTGGTGGTAATAGATACTTTCTGTGGAAGGGCTGAAGCCTTTCCTACTTCAAACACATGTGCTCTCACTGTCTCTCTTTTGATATTCAAAGAAATCATACCTAGATTCGGACTTCCCACCTCTTTCCAATCTGATAATGAACCAGAGTTCACCTCTCAGGTGACCCAGGGTTTTGCCAAGTTAATGGGAATTTCCTGGCACTGTCATATTCCATTCCATCACCATCACTGGGAAAGGTGGAGCGTACCAATAGGTCCACTAAGTCAATCCTTACTAAGTTAACCCTAGAGCTTCATATGGATTCGCTTACTCTTTTACCTCTTGCTCTATTAAGATTGAGGTCCCGACCTAAAGCCCCTCTTCAAATTTCCCCATTTGAATTAATGTTTGGGTGTCCCTTGTTACCACCAGGACTGGATGGTCAAGCCTCCCCCTCCCTCTACCTTGTTGATCTCTTTACTTGACTGAATGTAAGCTCAGATATGGCAGCATGCTGATTCATTGTTGCCTTGCCTGGCCTCTACCCTCCCATCCACATATCATCCTGGAGATCAGGTCCTCTTGGCCCTGCCTCATGAGCAAAAGGATCCCCTCAAGCCTAAATTCCAAGGGTGATCTATTTATGGACATCTTGTCCACTCTAACCGTGGTTAAACAGAAGTCCCCCTCTCTGATCAATCCAACAGGTTCCTCTCCATCCTACTCTGCAACTCCCATGAGACCTCTCAAGATAAAACTCATGAGGGTAGCAGAAGAGTCTTCTGATAAAGATGTGAGCCTGCCAAGAACTCTGGTTTGAAAATCCTGAGCGCTCTCATGGGATATTGTGAGGCCTTTGTCACCATCTCTTTTCCAAATTTGCAAATTTCCAAATTTGTTTATTATTTTCACTGGGTTTTTTTAATAATTTATTTTTTTGGTACTGGGGATTGAACTCTGGTCATTACGCTTGCAAAGCAGGCCACCAAACTGCTGAGCTAAATCCCCGGCCTTTCATTGGGTTTTATTCTAGGAGTCAGATTGGCCACTGTGGTACCTCCCTCCTATAGTCTTTCTTCCAGAGTTTGCCTTGCTTTGATTTATTATTCTATTATTGGTCTGTTTGCCTTGCTTGCCTGTTTGTGAGTCCCCTGATTCGATAAGGCTTTTAAAGGTTGATTTGCCACCTGACCTTTCTGGCTTTCTGTAAGGCCTTGTCTTCTGTTCAGACAATGAGAGTAGATAAGATGTTAGTTTATTCTCTCACGCTTGTCTGCTTTGGGCTGTTCATGAGATCTCTGATGGCCCTGACCTCAAACATGCCTTAATGTGGGAGCCACTGTATTATAACTGGGCAGTGGAACAGGTGGTGTTTCACCAGAGTGTTTGGCTTCTTCACATATGTGCACCACAGCTGTTATAAAAACTCCAAGATCTGTATCCAAGATGGAGTCCAATGCAACATAGCACTCATGACAAGGTCTAGCTCAGCCCAGGTCTCATGCTGTGGTGGAGGACAGAATACATGGGCCTGTTTTTCCTGAATTCCCCAATTGGGAACATCAGACAGAGGAGGAGTCCAAGACAGGGCTCTCAAAGGTGATGTTCAGCAAGTACAACAGGCTGTTGTAAAATTCTCACAGCCTCCCACAGAAAGGCCTTATGAGGGAATTAATCTAAATAAGATCAGATACATCACACACTCAGCAGAGAATACTTAATCTCTTCAATACTACACTTCATACCATTCTCACGGGTCAGACAGATTGCTGGATATGTCTCCCCATAGTTATAAAACAATATATCCCACTCCCAATCCCTTTGTAACCCAATTACATCCCACCCAGTATTAACTGCCCAGCTAAGAAGACCCTCTTGATCAAAGACCTTAGGGCCTATGCCATGGGACTGCCTACACCAGATGCTATTTCCAA